TGAATATGATATTTGTGGTGTTGCTCTGAGTGTATATCCACACCGGGCGAGCTTGAAAAATATGCCCGGCCACGGTGGGATTCGAACCTACGACCTTTGGAATACTAGCCCAATGCTCTTCCAACTGAGCTACGCGGTCAGGACAGTTCGAGTAAGTGATATTTCGGAACAGAATCTAGTTCCTTCGATACCAATGTATTCTAGTAATATGAATTTTTTCTGTGTTGGTGTAGTGTACTCAGGTGAATATGATATTTGTGGTGTTACTCTGAGTGTATATCCACACCGGGCGAGCTTGAAAAATATGCTCGGCCACGGTGGGATTCGAACCTACGACCTTTGGAATACTAGCCCAATGCTCTTCCAACCGAGCTACGCGGTCAGGACGGTTCGAGTAAGTGATATTTCGGAACAGAATCTAGTTCCTTCGATACCAATGTATTCTAGTAATATGAATTTTTTTCTGTGTTGGTGTAGTGTACTCAGGTGAATATGATATTTGTGGTGTTACTCTGAGTGTATATCCACACCGGGTGAGCTTGAAAAATATGCCCGGCCACGGTGGGATTCGAACCTACGACCTTTGGAATACTAGCCCAATGCTCTTCCAACTGAGCTACGCGGTCAGGACGGTTCGACTAAGTGACATTTCGGAACAGTATCTAGTTCCTTCAATACCAATGTGTTCTAGTATTATGAATTTTTTCTGTGTTGGTGTTGTGTACTCAGGTGAATAATATGTTTGCGATGTTACTCTGATTGCATATCCACACCGGGCGAGCTTGAAAAATATGCCCGGCCACGGTGGGATTCGAACCTACGACCTTTGGAATACTAGCCCAATGCTCTTCCAACTGAGCTACGCGATCAGGACGGTTCGAGTAAGTGATATTTCGGAACAGAATCTAGTTCCTTCGATACCAATGTATTCTATTAATATGAATTTTTTCTGTGTTGGTGTAGTGTACTCAGGTGAATATGATATTTGTGGTGTTACTCTGAGTGTATATCCACACCGGGCGAGCTTGAAAAATATGCCCGACCACGGTGGGATTCGAACCTACGACCTTTGGAATACTAGCCCAATGCTCTTCCAACTGAGCTACGCGGTCAGGACGGTTCGAGTAAGTGATATTTCGGAACAGTATCTAGTTCCTTCAATACCAATGTGTTCTAGTAATATGAATTTTTTCTGTGTTGGTGTTGTGTACTCAGGTGAATAATATGTTTGCGATGTTACTCTGAGTGCATATCCACACCGGGCGAGCTTGAAAAATATGCCCGGCCACGGTGGGATTCGAACCTACGACCTTTGGAATACTAGCCCAATGCTCTTCCAACTGAGCTACGCGGTCAGGACGGTTCGAGTAAGTGATATTTCGGAACAGTATCCAGTTCCTTCAATACCAATGTATTCTAGTAATATGAATTTTTTTCTGTGTTGGTGTAGTGTACTCAGGTGAATATGATATTTGTGGTGTTACTCTGAGTGTATATCCACACCGGGCGAGCTTGAAAAATATGCCCGGCCACGGTGGGATTCGAACCTACGACCTTTGGAATACTAGCCCAATGCTCTTCCAACTGAGCTACGCGGTCAGGACGGTTCGAGTAAGTGATATTTCGGAACAGAATCTAGTTCCTTCGATACCAATGTATTCTAGTAATATGAATTTTTTTCTGTGTTGGTGTAGTGTACTCAGGTGAATATGATATTTGTGGTGTTACTCTGAGTGTATATCCACACCGGGTGAGCTTGAAAAATATGCCCGGCCACGGTGGGATTCGAACCTACGACCTTTGGAATACTAGCCCAATATATGTAATATATGTGAATATATGTAAATAAAACGCAAATCTCGATTTCAACGCATGATTGTTTACAACAAGTCGTCACGCGCGTGCGCCGCGATGGCGGTTAGCCGCAAGTTTTCTGGCTCGCGTGACTTTTCTGGCTCGCGTGACTTTTCTGGCTCGCGTGTTGTGGATTATTCTATACAAACATGAAGAATACACCAAGTGTTTCCACCTGGCAAGAGCTTTACGTGTGTTCAGAAGTTATGAAAGCTAAAATCTTCTCCAACGATTTCAAGCGACGACGAAAAGTGAAACAACGACCGTTAGCAAATTCGTTAAAGTTTGCTCTTGGCTGTCGCCTTCTCCTCTACGCCCTGTTTTCAGTGTTTCTGATCAAACTATCGGGTGACGTTGAAATAAATCCAGGCCCTACCAGCAATGCAAATCAAATCTCGCATAATAACCGAGCAGTAAAATGCCTTGGACTCAACGCACGGAGCTTGATGAGTGTAACGAAAACAAATAACGGACAAACTGTGAGTAACCTTGAACGATTTCAGAACTTTGTTTACTCCGAAGACATTGATATTGTTTTTGTCAACGAGACTTGGCTTTCTTCGAGTATAGACAATGGTGAAATTTTACATTCTGGATACACTATAGTCAGAAAAGATCGGGATGGTCGCGGGGGCGGAGTTTTGTTGGGGATTAGAACGGGATTATTTAAAACTGTGCGTGAAATTAAGCATGATCAGATCTGGAGATTGTTTTGGTTGAATTAACAACAATATCGGACTCGAACATACTTATTTGCTCTTGTTATCGTCCACCAAACGCGGACAGAATTTGGATGGAAAATTTTGAAAATTTTCTGAACGATGTTTGCTCACGTCATTCAAAAATTGTTCTCGCTGGCGACTTCAATTTACCGCGCGCGTGCTGGAACTCGCGGGAAATCTCCGTAGGCGTGAACGAAACGAAATTTATTGAAATTCTGGATGATTTTTTCTTGGAGCAAATCAATAACATTCCCACCAGAGAAAACAATGTTCTTGATCTCTTAATTACTAGTATTCCTGACAAAATAAAGATAAGCGAAGTTTTAAAACCAACTGATGCGGGAATCTTCACAGATCATAGCCTAATCATGTTGGATCTAATCACGGTATGCAATCCATTACCAAAAGTAAAAAGATCCATATTTAATTATCGTCGAGCTGACTTTGATGGTCTACGAGCACATCTCCGATCACTTAACCTGAAGGAGAAAATATCTGATCATGACGATATTAATAAAGATTGGTCGGATTGGAAAGATTCGTTTCTTGGGGCGGTGAAGCAGTTTGTTCCAACTGCAAATTTAAAAGGTCGAAAGTCTCTTCCCTGGATGAATAGTACAATTCTACATTTAATTAAGAAGAAAAACTCGTTGAGAATGAGAATCAAGAGATCTAGTTCACCAAGTGACTATATAAGAAATCAATTTAAAAGCCTGCGCTCTACCATCAAACGCATGTTGCGTGACAGTCGACTTAAATACATGAATAAAATCTGCGCCAATCGTGATTACAACGCAAAACGCTTTTGGTCCTTTTTTAAGACAAGGTCTAAAGTTTCCAACATTCCAGGGAAAGTTTCCACGAAAGTAAATGATAGTGAAAGAATGCACGCGAACAGTAACACCGATGTAGCGAACATGTTCAATGAATATTTTGTTTCCATCTTCTCCTCTGACTCGGACGTTGCCTTTGAACATCGTGATCGTCTGCATAACGTAGAGTTTCAGAATATCACATTATCAGAGGAAGAAGTACTAGCTGTGATAATGAACTTAGACCATAATAAAGCACACGGCCCAGATAATATTCTAGCCCGCCTACTGAAAGAGACATCCGCGCAGATTGCACCATCTCTCTGTTCTCTTTTCAACAAGTCTTTACGTATCGGCGTTGTGCCTGACGATTGGAAACTCGCGAACGTGGTCCCCTGTTTACAAACACGGAGAAAAAGCTGAGGTAGAAAATTACCGACCAATTTCACTGCTGTCCCTTATCTCAAAAACCCTCGAACGTTGCGTATTTAACAACATCAAGCATCATGCTTACGAACAGATAAATCCTTGCCAAAATGGTTTTGTGCCGAAAAAATCCTGCATCACCCAACTCATCGAAGTCCTTGATCACATCGGCCGAGACTTAGATCGTGGTAAACAAATTGACGTAATTTATTTAGACATGTCCAAGGCCTTTGATAAAGTGAGCCACGTAAACATGCATCGCCTTCGTGAATTCGGGTTTGGAGGAAGCATTCTCAAATGGTTCGGTTCATATCTGACCAACCGATATCAACAAATGACCATTCTTGGAGCAACGTCGAAGCCGCTTCCAGTAACATCAGGAGTGCCACAGGGGTCCATCCTCGGTCCATTATTGTTCCTTCTTTATGAGAATCATCTCTCCAATTCCGTGACCAATTCAAGGATTGCTGTATTCGCGGACGATACCAAGATCTTCAAAACCATCAATTCGATCTCTGATGCGTCTGCTCTACAGAATGATCTGTCAAACTTTCAAGAAAGTTCAAGCAGTATCAACCTCGAATTGAATAACACCAAATGCAAAGTCTTAAGAGTCACCCGAAAGCACAATAAAATTACTTATCCATACAAGCTTAACGATACCTTCTTACAATGCACGGATTGTGAACGAGATTTTGGAGTTTTAACATCTTCTACTCTGACTTGGTCTAAACAAGTTGACCACCTGTGTAACAAAGCCACCAAAATGCTAGGATATTCCGAAGATCAACCTTAAACATCAAAGATATCACGGTTCGTCGCAGACTATATTTATGTCTTGTTCGTTCCCAGTTCTGCTATGGATCTCAAATTTGGGCACCACAATCAGTAACCTTAATCAAACGAGTGGAAAGACTTCAAAGACGCGCAACAAAGTACATCCTAAATCTGCTGTTCCGTTGTGACACAACCTACAACCAGAGACTTATACTTTTAGACCTCCTTCCATTGTGCTACTGGCATGAATTTCTAGATATGGTAACCTTCTACAAATTAACGCATGGTATCATGACCATTGACAATAATTTAATACAATCGTCACCCAATAACAACAGAAGAGAAACCAGGTCGTCTAATCCCAATCATCTGTCAATTACAACGGCACAATGCAAGACCACTACCTACCAAAGGTCATTTCTCAACAGAACAAAGAGACTCCATTGATATTTTGTTGACGTTAGATAAAATAAGTAATATTAATCTCTAAGTTAATTAGTTAATAATAGACAGTGGATATGATTGACAGTTTGCATGTTTCACGAGTCGAAAACAACATGAAGACAAGGCGTGTGCTTAGGAAAACATACGAAGCAAATGTAGATTAAAATGTGTTACCCCGCCAAGAAGTAAGTTCATATTTGTGTATTAGAGTATGTATAGTGTAGAATTAGAAGTAATTTGTAGTTGTAATTCAATTTATAGATCGAATAAAAACAGTGTAAATAATATACGATTTGACGGGCAATGTATTCATTTCATCGGACCACAAATTCGATTTCCAATGCTAACATGGCGTCCGTAAGAAATATATAAACGAAGATAAACTTGTGTGCTAACCAGAAGCTAACCATGGCTGAAGCGAAAGCTTTATCTGAAGCGAAACTAAGACGTAGAACTGCTAAAGCCGCGCTAACCCGTATAAGTAAAACGCTGAGAATTAAACTACAAAACGATAGACCCCCAGGCGAAATAACCGAAGCTTTGCAAAATTAAGGTGAAACAGGCGTATAATGATTTAGTCGTTAAACATGAAGAATATGCCCAGAACATTGAAAATGATGAGGAATTCGAAACAGAGGAAAAATGGCTAGAAGAAAGTCAGGATGCGTATCTTCAACTAGAATGTACAACAAATGATTATATTATGAATAAAAACATGCAACAGACATTGGGCGGAAGTGTTGAACAACCGGAAGCGAGTAGCGGAAATAACGGAAGTGAAGCCCAAACGAACACTGAACAGTCGGAAACAGTCGGAGAAACTTCGGCAACTGAACAGCAAGCTGTACATGTGAACAACCAAGAAGAAACTTCTGAAAATAATGCTCAATCGAGTAATAATGTCCAAGAAAATGTGCAACAAAGCGCCACAACACCCTGTGGATTCAAAATGGAAAGACCCAAGATGCCGCGATTTGCTGGAGACGTCCGAGATTACGTCATATTTCGAGCTGACTTTAAACATGCTGTAGATTCAAGGTACGGTAAGAGAGATGCAATGTCCTTGCTACGTACGAGCCTTAGCGGAAGACCCTTGGAGCTGATAAAAGGAATTGGTAGCGACTACGATGCTGCATGGGAGCACCTAGATTCGATATATGGAGACCCTAGATTGGTCGCAGACACTGTCACCCATGACATTTCAAAATTCAAACCACTTCGTGAAGATGAAGACTCAAGATTTTGTGATTTAACCCAACTGGTTAGAAGAAGCTACAACACGCTCAAGGAGGTCAACAGACAGTTTGACATGGATAACAATCACATGATAGCAATAATTGAACAGAAATTGCACATGAATGACAGGAAGATCTGGTCGCGCCATTTGGAAAGCAGTGGAAAAGAGGCTACATTAGAAAATCTAATCACATGGATGACAACAGAAATGAAAACAAGAATGAGAGCTACAGCGCCTCTGAGAAGTATGCAATCCAGGCATCCGGTTGGAAGTTTCAATGCTGATATTTCTGGAAGTAACCCTAAGTGCTGGGTGTGCAAGAGTTCCAACCATTTCGTTGATCAATGCAGAAAGTTTTCAGCTATGAATCCCAGTGAACGATTACAAGCTGTTAAGGACAATCATGCCTGTTATAGTTGTCTTAAGCGTGCAGGTAGAGACCACAGATCATCAAATTGTTCCAGAAGACATCAGTGCCAAGAGAAAGTGAACGGTAACCAGTGTAAATACTACCATCAACACCTACTCCATGAAGATAACCCACATCCTGCTGCAAAGATTGGAACATTTACAACAAAAAAAACAGCAATGCTTCCTATTGTACAAGCGAACATTCTCGGTTTAAATGGTCTAAAAAAGAAAGGAAACGTGTTATTAGATTCCGGCGCTCAGATCAGTTTAATTAAAACGTCAGTCGCCAAAGATTTAAAGCTAAAGGGAAAGGACGTTGTTGTGACTCTTATAAAAGTAGGATGTCAAGAAGAGGAATTACACACCAAAGTATATCGTGTTACGGTTCAGTCGCTAGAAAATCAATCATGTCACACAATTGAAGCCATTGGAATTCCCTCTGTTAGTGATGAAATTTCCGTTGTAAAAATAGGTGAGGTAATCAGAAAGTTTGGTTTATCAAGAGGTGACATTCGAAGAGGAACTGGTGATACGGACTTGTTGATTGGTATCGATCAAGCAAAGCTCCATACCGGAGAAACGAAAGAAGCAGGAAATCTTGTGGCACGCCATTCCCCTCTAGGTTGGGTGATCTTCGGTGCTACCACTAGTCAGCAACTTGGAACCAGCAGAGTAAATCACGTGAAGTTCGCGACACCCGTAGACATGACCGAGTTTTGGTCTACCGAGTCAATGGGAGTTCTGTCAAGCCATGCTTTTGTGAGCCGCAAAAGCTAAGCCCTATCGAAAGAAAGAAGCGAAAGTGATCGAGGATTCTTGTGAAAAGTTAAACGGACAGTGGCTTATATCGTATCCATGGTCCATACGAATTACCAGATAATAGAGAGCAAGCGGAAAAGAAGTTGCAGGCGACAGAGCGACGACTTTTGAAGAATCAAGAACATGCAACCGCATATGATAAAGAGACGGTCGACATGAATAAACTCGGCTTCTCGAGAAAATTATCAGAAGAAGAACTTAACCAGTACAACGGCCCGGTGCATTATGTGTCACATCACGAAGTCTTACGACCCGAAAGCAAAAGTACTCCTCTACGGATTGTTTTTAATTCATCTGCAGTTTATCAAGGACATAAGCTTTAATGACTATTGGATGAAAGGACCCGATCTTTTGAACGACCTTTTTGGTGTCTTACTCCGTTTTCGTGAAAGTCGAACTGCTGTATCTTAATACCTGAAGTTGATCAGCAAGTGCATAGATTTATCTGGAGAAATTTGGAAACTGAACGTGATCCCGACACTTACGTGAAAACGGTTTTGACGTTTGGCGACAAGCCTGCGCCAGCAATGGCGCAGATCGCTCTAAGAAAGACCGCGCAAGAATCAGAAGAAGTGTAACCGAAAGCTGCAAAGGTTTTGAAAAACAACACGTATATGGACGATATTTGTGATTCACTGGAAACAAATGAGGAGGCTCGGCAGCTTACCCGTGACGTAGACGAGGTTTTGGCAAAAGGTGGATTTGCAGTGAAAGAGTGGATATCA